CTTTGCAAGCTAGGCAAGTGCTGGTACCATTGAACTACTACACCTCAAGCCCATCAGTGATGATTAGTGACTCTGAAATGCGGGCTGTTTACACAAGTGCAAACATCCAGAAAGATGCAAGTTTTACCCCCATTACCTTACTGACTCCAGATAAATACCATGACTTTAATGGTATTTATGGACCCAAGTGATGGAGCCAAGCTGCTGGGCTGCAGCAAGCGTGCTAACTGGAAAGGCATGCATTTATGATCTGATTCTCCCCCCAGCCCCCATTTCCCTGATCCATCTCTTCCCCTGGGGTCTTCCCAGTAGGGAGCTGCAAACATACTGACTCTGAGGTACAGCGGGTGTCAGGAAGGAACAGAATGTTAGTAAGACAGAGACATCTGTTTCTTAGTGGCAGATTGCTGGGCTGGTCCTCTGTCTGAAGTATGAGGACAAGAGATGTGATGAAGGCTGAGAATATCTTTGTCCACTTAAAAGAGCATTTAACAAGGTTTTAGGCATGAAATGTACTTAAATTACATTTGAGGTTTAATGTCAACATTGCTTAATGCTTCTTTAAAAAAAAATATTATATTTTGTTCAGACAGCATCTCCCTATGTAGCCAGCCTATGCTGACCTCAAACTCACCATGTTGTCTATTCTGGACTCAATCTCAGGATGATCTTCTGTATGTCTCAGCCTCCCTGAGATTACAGACAGGAGCTACCCAAAGCTTGTTACAGAGAGATTTCTTTGTTGCTTTAATTTGTGTGTATATTGTATGGCTACATGAGTCTGTGTGTGCAGGTGCCCTTGAGGTCAGGGCCCCTGAGCCATCTCCCGAGCCCTCCCTAGTGCTTCTGATGCCTGATTTTTACTATGTCGTGACTGTGCTGGCTGCGTCTCAGGGATGCTGATACTTAGGTCCATTTGCTTACTTGTTTTTCCATCTAAGCACTCACATTTTTTTTTTTTTTTCATTTGAAGCTCTTACAGTGTCCTAGGTTCTGGAAGGGGTGTGAGAGGAAAAGAAATCTGCCATCCAAAGCTGACCCTAGTTGGAGAGAACAGATTAAGAATCAGCTAAATAAGTCATTGGAGCCTCAATTAAGGGCTCAGGAGAGTGGTGTAGAAAATGAATGCTGTTGGAAGAGAAGCGAAATAGGAAGTTGTTATGTAAGCAGGCAGTTGGGATGAGGCAGCCAAAGGGTTGAAGCGGAAGAAGCCAGTGCAGGACCAGAAGACAGCAGCCGTGGCTCGGCCTTGTGTGGTCTGTGTCCTCAGGAAGGATGTCTCACGTTAATAAAAGGTCATGAGCGTTATCTGAGGTCTGTGGAAGCAGCAGCTCCTGCTGTGTAGCTGGTCCAAGTGCATTTCTGAAGCTGACACCTAGCTGCCAGGCCTGTTGGCTTTTCGTGCCGTTACACTGATGTCCTCACAGGCAACAGTGGGCGCTGAATGTGCCAGTCAGTTAGGTTCAAGGCTCTTTGTATTTCTTCCACCCCTGTTTCTTTCTTCAGCTGGGTCGTGTGGCTTCTACTTAATACACTGTGGGGAACTTAAAGCGCCCAGTTTCCCAGCTGACGCCCCTTAGTGATGAGTACTTCCTGCATTATCCTCAAACTCCAGTTTCCCTTATTATAAAGACCTCCTTGCCTGTTTTCAACCAGCAGCTGTTTAGTGAAGGTATCATAGTGATAACTGTATCTTAAAGCCCTTAAAGATAGGGCTTAGAAATGGAGAGTAGTAACTATTGGGCTGTAGCTCTGTGGTGGAGTGTTTGTCTAGTGTGCCTGTTGGTTTGATCCCCTGTATTTCAAAAAAGGGAAAGGAGCACCAGCAAGGTGGTCCAGTGCCAAAGGCCTCTTTCAGGCATTATGGGTACCCACACATGTGTAGCTCACACAATCACACACATAGACACACAGGCACACACAATAAGGAGTAAATAAGTAAAAAAAAAAAAAAAAAAAGAAAGAAAGAAAGACAGAGTATTCCTGTCAGTAGGCACAGGTAAGAGTTCCAAAGTTCTCTTGTATTCTTGTCTGGGCTCACACCCTTTTCCCTTCTCGGAAGACTCCCAGAAACCTGACTAGGTAAAGAAATCCTGGCATCTCTCCTCTTAACAGAGCTTGCAGGTAGAGGCAGGGCATTTTTACTTTTAACATTGGTTTTGGTTGTATTTGGGGCTCATGCACATTGTGTTCTTCCCAGTATGTATCAGCCTGTGAAGGGCGGTGGCGGCTGCTGCTGCTGCTGCTGCTTTCACAGGGCAGACTCTTTCAACTCTTCCTTATGGCAGCTGCGTTTGTTTGCAAGCTGGTTGTGGAGACTGCAGCTTTGGAAGGAAGCACATCTGTAGGAAGCCAGATGATCCAGAGGGACGGGGCCCTTGACCTTGACCCCATCCTTCTTGTACCTTGAGCAACTGAAACTGGTTGCTGGTTATCAGATTAGAGCAACAATGTAGCCAAAGCAGGACATTAAGGGGGTCCCCCAAAATAGTAATTATCACTGGGGTGACACTGAGATACCAAACTACTTAAGTAGTTTCCATTTAAAAAAAAAAAAAAGAAGAAACAAAAACAAAAAACAGTGAGAGAAATGAGGAAGGGGGTGGGATCGGCTCCAACCAGGTTCCTTGAGGGAAATGCAGTCTGCTTGTCCTCTCTTCTGTCCCCCGGCTCTGTCTCCTTCACTGTGTGGGGATGCCCACTGAGTGAAAGGGTCTTCTATGGTCATCAGCCTCCCTAGTTGTCAGATGTAGACTAGATGACAGTCCACTAGAAGTTTAGACTTCCCCAGCAGGGTCCTCTGACCAGCAGAAGTTGCTCCATGGCTAACTTGGGAGATGGGGGGACGTAGCAGAGAGCGTCACAGGCACAAACTTTGTGGAAGTCAATTTTATTTATCCGAGCGCTCACCAAAGTGTTGCAGTCGCCTCCCTATCACAGCTTTCAGGCTTACTGTACAGTGCACTGCATCCCCACTCTGAGTCAAACTAGCCTGTCAGGAAAATGCCTCATCCTGGAGTCTGGCTAGCTCCTGGCGGCCACCAGGCACCCTGAAGTCCCGTTTTGAAATGTTGATTTTGTTTTGAGATAGGGATTCCAGCCCTGTAGTCCAAGCTATCCTGAAACTCACCAAGTACCTCAGGTTGGCCTCAAAGATGCCTTGGTCCTACCCTTCGCCTCTTTAGTCCTAGGACTACTGGCTTAAGCTGACCCCCATAGCAGGTTAATTTTGAAACGATTAGGACCAGAAGATCTCATGTGGATGGTAGAGCCCACAGTTTCCTGGCAGTTTCAATTTTTCAGCACAGTTTAATGCACCTTGTACGTGGACCAGGTTATCCACGGGCGATAGCTGAAAGGATAACCTTAGCTTTATTTATTCAGTAGACTAGCTGGGAGCTTTAAGATGGCTTTGGGTTGTCCTGAGGCTACAGGCCTGTCATTGAAGGGAGAGTGTATTTGCATATACAGAATTAGATGGAGGTATAAGTACTTTTAGAATGCCCCAGGCTTTTTTTTTTTTTTTTAACAAGTCACATTGACATTTCTCATAGTCGATTCAGTGTCTGTTTTTAACTTTTGTTGTTGTTTTTGTTTTAATGTTTGTGGCTGTAACACAAAGGAGCAGTGTCACTGTCAAAATCAGCCAGAAAGGAAACCACAGCACTTGTACAAGACAGGTTGCAGATTCAGATGAAGACTCATTTGGGGGGAAAAATGTAGCTGCCTTTCGTCCTTCTGAAACATCACTTACAAGTAAACAGGTTCCTACTAGGATCCCTCCCTCCTGCCCACCATACGTGAAAAGTTCTTAGTTCTTCACACTCCTACCATTAGCCTGCTACAGAAATAAGGCTTGCTGACACAAAATGACTGGGCCGATTCCAGAAGACTATTGTACCAAGAGTGTCTTCTAAACCCTCTCAAGTCTACTTTAGCTCACTCATTCCAGAAGGAGTTGATCCTCAAGACTTCACAGCGCCAAATGACGAAAACTCACTGGCTTGAGCACTTTAACCCCAGCAGACACTTGTCCTGTTTTCCGTGAAGAGAAATGGAACCCCAACCAGCACTCACTCATTAAAAGATGACTGTCACTTTGTGTTAGTTAACGTTTCCAAACCCCAAAGCTCCAACGATCTTGGCATCTGCTGCCGAGTAATAAAAACATCAGCAGAGTATAGCGGCTAAAAGAGAGGTGTGTGTGGTAGGAACAAATACGACGCATATCAGGGTTTACTAGCAGGGTCCCTCATAAAGGGTTTTAATGAGATTTCTGCATCAAAATAAGCGAAACCATATGGAATTTTAATTATTCCTAAAACATAGTTTTAAGGCAAAATAAATACACGTTAGAAGCCTTAAAAAAAAAAAAAGTTAACATGCCTATCTGTGTGCGAAGTCTGTGCTTCCTTCAGGGGTAAATGTTGATGTTTTTTAAGTGTGACTTCTTTCCGTTTTAAATTACTTGGCTTATTCTGGCTTCTCTCTTGTGCTCTGGGTATTCACGGAAGCGGCCTGCCTACATCTATTAGACTTCACCTAGATGCTGTGGGGGGTGAGAAGCCCACCGAGGACCACCTGTGGCCTCTGCTTTGGGGGTCTGTATTGTTTGAGGCCGCCTGTAACACAGGCTAGGGAGGCATCTGCTCCCCTCTGCTCCCAGTGCTGGTTCTCTGACCCTCACCATTTCCACCTTCTAAAACTTGAGCCTGTCAGGATTTCGTTTAGGCAGAGGGGGAGGCCAGTCCAGGGAGGAAGGGTTTATCAGATGCAGACCACAAAGTACCCGCTGCATGTGTTCTAGCCTGTCATCTTGAAAGTGTTTGCTTCTGGAAGTGGAGGCAGCTGGGCCAGTGGGTCCCAGGGAAGGGAGGAGGGATGGGACCCCCCATGCTCCAAGGCCCTTGTTTCCCCTCCTGCCTTGGAACTGATGTCATAGACGAAATGTCAAACCTACAGCTGGAAGGGAACTTAGAGCTCGTCCCCTCATTTTCCAGATGATGACACTGCCACCTCTGACTTCTGCCTCTGGCCTTCCTCTCTCAGTAAGAAGAGCCAGGCAGGTGAGACTTTTCACAATTGCTGGGCTGGGCTGGGCAGGGCTGGGCTGGGCGGGGTAGGGCTGGGCAGGGCTGGGCGGGGCTGGGTGGGGCTGGGCTGGGCTGGGCTAGCCTGGGCTAGCCTGGGCTGTCTGATGGCTACTGTCTTCTGGTTTGTGAGAAAAAGGATTTTGTTAACTTTTATGTTGCTTTCAAGCAGCCACTTTGTATGACAGAGATGCATTTCACACCATGAATCCCAGTGTATGGTGAAGTGCATTGTCACACATGTATCCACCCTCTGACAGGCCCTTTCATGACACAAGTTTGAATTCTCCCTCCAGTAAACACCAGACTATCTGAGAAGAAAGGCTGATTACAAATTGGGCTGAGGGACAATTAAGATCTTCAAGAGTTGCTCAGCACTTTCCCTGACAGCTAACACCTAGCAAAGGCAGGTAGAGGAAATCTAGGTGTGGTAAGGGGGCTTTAGAAGACATCACAAACTTAGAAACACTAATGTTACAAAAGGCCTTGCCGTAAGTCCCTCAGGTCTAGAAAACTGTAAGGAGCCCCAAGATCACAGCTATGAGTTTTATCCATTCCAGAAAAGTAGTTTCCACGTGCCAAGTCTTTAGCCATACTTTCAGGAGTTAGAAAGTAGAGGTGTCTGCCACGGAGACACATTGCTAGGTTCAGAGGAGAAAGTTCTGGAGGGAAGCCATCTCTGCCCCTAAGTTTTGAAGACAGGGGACAGGTATTAGGCAGCTCTCAGTTCAATCTATCCCGGGCCTTACAGAAGCAGCTGTGGGCAGCTGGCCTAAATCAGGTCCTGTGTCACTTGTCAAGACTCTGAAATGCAGTGACTGTCAAGGTTCCCACACACCCCGCCACCGTACTTCCCTGCCCATCCTCCACCCTCCCTCTTGATACCTTCTTATCTAGTTTATGACTCAAGGGAGAATTTCTGAGGGCTAGACTCTCCCCAACACCCTCAGAAAAGCAAGATAGTGTTAGATTACATTGAAGTCTGCTTTGATTTCACTGTGACTAAGATGAGGATTCGAACAAGATCTTAAATTCTCTTAATGGTTAAAAGAAATAGCAGGAGTACGTTAGAGGAATGTGTTCCACGTGCTTTTCTTCTTCGCAGAGAAGCCCTGCCAAAGGGGAACAGTAATAAATCCGATGTAGATTTGTTTACACTGAGTTAGGGAAAATCACTTCAGATACCTGAGGTGCAATAAGAAACAAAAAGAGGGGGGAAAAATCAGTGAAGAGCCAGCCTTAAAGTCTTGTGCATGAACCTGTGACTGGAGTGTTGGTTTGGCTTCCGCACAGGGTCTATGCATATTTGGGATCTAAAAGCCCTTTGGGATTCTCTGGGGGTGCAGGACTTCAAGATAAATGCCACTGAGACTGTAAGGTGGAAAGAAAGGCCCAAGGTGAGCGGTTCAGAGATCTATTTGTGACTTGCTGCTCCTTGGGAAGAAAGCTGAAGTTTTCTTCTTCTTCTTCTTCTTCTTTTTTTTTTTTAAATCTTGTAACAATCCTATCATTTTAATTGATATTTACAGATGTCTCCCCCTCCCCATCTTCTGTTATAATTTTTAGGTGCTTCAGAACTGGGTCCCTTTTCAGACCCCAGGCAGTTCCCAAGCATCTCAGCCCTCACTGAGAGCCGCTTCTCCAACCCACGAATGCACTACCCAGCCACCTTTACTTACACCCCGCCCGTCACGTCAGGCATGTCCCTCGGCATGTCTGCCACCACCCACTACCACACCTACCTGCCACCACCCTACCCCGGCTCCTCCCAAAGCCAGAGTGGACCCTTCCAGACCAGCAGCACTCCATATCTCTACTATGGCAGCTCTTCAGCATCCTATCAGTTCCCCATGGTACCCGGGGGAGACCGGTCTCCTTCCAGGATGCTTCCACCATGCACCACCACCTCGAATGGCAGCACGCTATTAAATCCAAATTTGCCTAACCAGAATGATGGTGTTGACGCTGATGGAAGCCACAGCAGTTCTCCAACTGTTTTGAATTCTAGTGGCAGAATGGATGAGTCTGTTTGGCGGCCATATTGAAATTCCTCAGCCGTGGCCCAGTGGCATCCAAGGGCCACACCCCACATGTGTTAATATATACATATATAAAGAGAGTGCGTATATATGTATATTGATTAGCTATCTAGAAGATTTCTCACTCACCCCCTAGTCATGATCTTGTAACCTAAAGAGGGCAGAGACAGCCATAACTGGGTTTCATATTGTTTACTATTTAAGATGTCCCCTCTACCAAGGAACAAACCTTCAAAGGTGGTGTTGTCTAGCCTGATTTTGTAAGTAACCTGTTCCTACGCCAATTCAGAGAGAGAGAGGTGGACTCTGGGCCTGGGAGGAGGATGAGCCATGCCACTTCCTCTCTGTACTTTGAAACCACGCGCCTGGCTGTGTGGGGGCCAGGGCACTCTGCAGACCAGCTTGCAAAGCCAGCTGTGGTGCACACGAGGAAAGGGACAAGGGTAGCGTGGGTGCTTCCAGTGCTGCCCATTTGGAATACCTGTTCCAAAGTTTTCCTTCAGACTTGCTGCAGGTACCCACTTGAACTTTTGAGTTCACTTATTTTTTATTTTGATTTTTTCCTTCTCTAAGAAAGTGACTTCAAAAATACTGATCAGGATAGATTATTTTACTTTTTTTATACTCCCCCTCTTCCCCCATTTAACCAGAAATAAATCCCACCCCATCCCCTCCCCTCCCTCTTCCTCCTCCTTCTCTCCCTTTATGCAAAACTGAAAATGGCAATATCTTGTTATAGCCACGATGATATAGTGTTTGAGTTGGCTGTGTGTTATTTTTCTTCTTTTTTAAATTATGAATATGTGTAAAATCTGAAGTAACTTGCTAACGTGGATGGTCATATAACTTTAAAGATATATTTATAATTATTTAATGACATTTGGACATTTGGAACATTTTCTTAGTGTAATGATATGTTGACTTCGGTCTCTAAAAAGTGCTGTTTTTCTTAAATAACAAATTTCTTCAGTGGGCTAGAGCCATATCAGAAATATTGCTAAGCAATTTCAATTCCTTCAGGCACAATGTGATTTTTGAAAATAATTTCCATCTCCAAATATTTTAGATGTAGTTTGTTTTCGTGTTGTATGAAGGAAATGCTATGTTTCATTCTTTCTGGTCTTTGATTGCCTCTCTGACACAGCTTTGCCTTTTAAAGCAATAATTAGGGATTAAAAACTCAAAACCAAAAAAAAAAAAAAAACCCTCACCTATAGCCCTGTGGCCCTTTAACACTTAGTGTGGCCCCGTTACTAGCATGAAATGCTGGAAACATGTGGTTTCCTAATTTCTCTCCTTTGGGGGTGGGGGGCGGTCATTATGACTGTTGTCATATTAAAAAGCCAAGCACAAGTGATGGGTTGAACTGCAGAAACGTGTCTGTGGTCAGAGTTAAGCAAAACTCTAAGTGGCAGGCTTCTTGGTTGAGGGCCTGGAGCCCTGAAAGCCACACATGCGGCATTGCCTCAGTCACGACGCGCAGGGCATAGGAACACAGACACAGCAGGAGTCTGCACCTTCCAGCCTTAGCACACAGTCTTTCAGGGAAACCCAAAAGTGCCTTACCCAGGGAGGGCCCCCAGGAGCAGGATGCCCTCACGGTTCTAAGGGAGCTGGTCCGCCGGAGTAGCAGCCGGTAGCTGATGTCAGTAGACACAGAGCCTGTGGGGACCTTCGAGAAGCCTTTGATGTTAGAGGCTGTCTCTAGGAAGGGCCAGGAGCAGGGCAGGCCTTGTGCTGCTTGGTGCCTGCCACTCTGTGTGGAATCTGAGAGCCAGCCCTCCTTGGAGGGTGCGCTTTGATCACTTCTGGCACCTTGAGGCCAATCGCTAAGTGTGAACCCCTAATCCGAGTCAGGGACTGTTCAGTGGCACCACCAGGCAGATGCCAGCATTCCTCCTGCTGGTGTGTGTATGGGGTTATTGGGCCACCTTCACTTGAACCCCGAATCATCCTAAGCAAGGCTCTTAGGCATTTGCTTTCAGCCCCGTGCTCGCTGATCCTTCCCAGGTTGACAACAGTCCCGGGGGCCTGTGGGCCTGTGTTGTGCCTGTTTTCCTTAGAGTTTACCCTGACTCCTTCTGGCACAAATTGAGGGGGCAAAGAACCCCTCCCTCCAGCAAGCCAAAACACTTTGCCTTCTAAAGGCTGCATACCAAGTGTACTCTCAGACAGACACGCCACTTTTGTATTTCTTAAGATGGAAGGTCTTAATAAGAAGACCGAGGCTATTTATTGTTTGTGTGTGGTAGCTTGAAGCATACCACTGTCCATGTGTTTGACCCCCTTTTCAGCAGCACTTACAAAAGCCAGTGTCTGGTTACACTTTTCAGTTTTCATTAATCGACATGAAGATGTTACCATCGGTGCCAGCTGCACCCTATTTAATTTTTTTTTTTTTTTGAAAAAGGTACTATATTTGTACATTATATTTTAGCGTTAAAGGGCTTCTTAAAGTTTACAATACACACGTTTAAGGGACTAGAGGGGAATGCGTTAGTGCCCAGATGTTGTCATAGTGGCTGCAGGCAGCAATCCAGAAACACCTTTGCAAACAGGTTGTTTCCCTCTGTCCTCCCTTTGGGAAGAATTCAAGTACTTCTCTCCACCTTTCGGCCACCTCACTGGGTGACTCCCATTATTCAGAACACTCTCCTGCTTTTTTGGACTAGGGTTTAAAATCCCCCTCCCTCTTCCCTTATCTCTTAAACTCTTCATTTGCACTGTGTCACATGTATGATTTGTGGTTTTAAGACCAAAGCAATGTCTTATTACTCTCCTGGAACCATTTATGCGTACTAACCAACCCTCCCCTTTCCCTGGGGTTATCAAAGGAACACAAACATGGCTGGGATTTACGGTGTCATGGACACAGCCATATTAAATAATATTAATAAATATTTTTCAGTTGTCTCAGAAATGTTAGCCTAGGCCAGAGTTCAGAATAGGTGCTATGGCTTTGGTTTTAGGTGAGGGAATGATGCCCAGCATGAACCAGAGTCCTTATAGATTTAACTGGTTTTCTCTCCACACTGTCTCATCCTTTACCCTGAGACCCTTGGCAAACGAACAGAGAAACATCTCCACACCGTTAGACTGTCCGTTGTAGTTTCAGAAGGGAGGAGCCATGTGTTGGGGCTTTCCTCTGTTCCAAGGAAAGGGACTGACCGACCTAGGGTTGAGGGCAGTAGCAGAAGCAACCACGCCCACAGTATTTGAAAGAATAATAAACAATAAAAGGTTCTTCCAAACTTTGAATTTGTTGTTCTTAAAAAAAGAGATGTGCATCTAAAACAAAGATTTTTTTTCTATGTGGGAACTTTCTTAGTTGTCTGTTTACTTCATGTTTACAAGTAATTGCTTTTTAATGCAGTACTTTAAAAATATATCAGCCAAAAAAAATAACATAACTTACAGTAATTTCTTAGGTATCTGAATAAAAGTCCATGTCTTTCGATATGCCTACCATCCTTAGATTTCTGTGGAACAACAAATTGTAGCATTTTGTGTAAATACAGCTTTTGTTTTTATTTTTAATTTTCCCTGATCGCTGTTGCCCAAGATTTGCTTTCCATGCACGCATTGTACAAATTCTGCTTTGTGCCACAGGTCATGATTGTGGATGAGTTTACTCTGATCTTCAAAGGGACTATTTGTATTGTATGTTGCAACTGTAAATGGAATTATTTGGCATTTTTCTCCTCCCCATGATTGTAATATTAATTTGAAGTTTGAATTTAATTTTCAATAAAATGGCTTTTTTGTTGTTGGTTTTGTTATGTGTGTATCCTGGCTCTTTTCTCATCCACGTCTGACACCCACTCCTGCCCACACCTCCTAGCATGTACCAGAGCTGGATAAGAGCAGAGGTCCTGTATCTCTTGGAGAAGGGGACACCTTGGTGAGCCCTGTGCTCTTACTCACCCTGAATCTGGAGGAGCAGGCAGAGACTCTAGCCATCGACCTGTGTCCTCAGTGCTCATGTCTGAAGGAGAGGGTGTCCAGGGCCATTCCGCTGGGATGAGTCAGGCTGTATCGACATCTGACCACAGGAATTGGATCCAGCAGCTGACTCCCCTTCTCCCGGCTGTCCTCAGATCCCAGGTAGCCCAGATGCGGGGAGCTGTCTATTTTCCTTCCCATATCTCTTTTTGGGTTTTTAGCAATAAAAAGGAAAGCCCTGTGGGGAGTACTGTGGACCCTGGCCCTGAGGAGCTCAGCCTCAAAAGCTTTCTGCTAGGGAACATAACTGTACTTTGAGGACTTTTATTTTGTTTTGTTTTGCTCATTTTTGGTAAGTCTCTCCTCTCCTGGTGAGGCAGACTTGTCACTTGCTTTAGTCTCTCTGACTTCCCACAATTCTAATGTAGGGGTCCAGAGAGCCTGGTGTAGAGATGCTGGGTCACCAGCCACACCAGCTCCTTTATCCCAATGGGAAGATGCCTCTTCTAAGAGGGTTGTTTCCCAAGAAACCTTGGAAGCAGCTTATTTCTAAGGCAAGGAGCCATCCTAGAAGAACCTGGCTGAGCTTTGGCCAGAGAATTTGTTTGTAGCTCTTTCAAGATGAATATTTATTTATTTAAATTAAACATTTCCATAGCTTTTTAAAGGCACAGGGGAGGGGGCACAGAAGCTGCCTCTCTTGTTTTGTTCCTAGACACATCACTTCACTCCTTTGAGCTTGAGTTTCTCGGTTACTATCAAGACCTTGACTTTGATATTTTAGGCCAGACAGGTTTCTGTTGTGTCCAGATCCTTGTGGCATATTTATCAGTAGCCCCAAGAAGTAATTATACCCATGGTATCTGAAAGGATAGTATATAATTCTTTCACGTATACAATATCTATAATAATATATAACAATGAATGCCAAGAGAACCTCTTAGTCCTGACCACCAAAAGTACCTCTAGGCATCACCAAATGGGCAACATGTCCACGGCTTGGAAGCATTGCCTGAAGTCTTATGTGGAACTGGGGTGAGGGGGTGAGTGAGCTGGTAGGTGCCCACTAGCCAAAGCCATCAGCAGAAGACTGAGCGGGCTTCCCAGTAATGCACACGTGTGGCCCCTTTTTCATCCCTTCATGTGACAGACCTCAAGGACTGGATGGAGCAAAAGAGTGTTCCTGACTTAGCTGCACATCTTTCTTTCCCTTCTCTGTCTGCTCTGGGCAGCACAGCCGGGTCTGAGGTCTGCCACGAGGCTAGCCTTTCTCCCGGCTGTCCTGTTTTCTCGCTGCAACAGAAGGCGGAAGAAGAAAAGCCAGTTCTCCAGTGCTTCTGACCCCTGGTGTCCCAAATATTTAATCATGAGACATTTCCGTGAGAGTGGGAGTTTCCTGTTAACTCAATCCCAGCCGAGACTGGCCCAATAAACACCTTAGCTCTCTGTTACAGAGTTTATTTGGCTGGGAAATGGGTCTTACCGTGTAAACAGGAAGCCTCCTGAAGCTATTATCTACAGATGTGGTTGAAGAGCCGCATGTTTGTATTTATGAGGCTTGAAAACAGTCTGGAAAGCAAGGGAGAATGTCGGGGAGCCCTTGGTCACAGTGAACACAGATCTCACAGAAAAGGAGGCTTACCCTCACCCACTCCCATTCCCTTTGAAAATGGGTGATCAGCAATAAGGACATAGCCAAGAGCCACAGTGAGGCAGGGACTAGATCCTTTGAGTTAAGCCACCACCTTGACGACCTAGGTTATCATGCCCAATCCATCCACGGATCCATTCACGGCCTCTGTCCCAGCTCTGAAAAATCAGTTTAGACATCTTTTCTAGAAAACAGTGCATTAAGGGCCCTAGAAGAGTGAGTAACTTTAGGACAACAACACGGAAGCTTGAGTTTTCTCAGAGGAGGTAGAAGGCTGCTCTTCTGACTCCTGTGGTTTCAGCAATATCACCGGTTCACCCAGG